TATGTATCTTGATACAAATAACTACATCACATCATAAGCAAACCTCTTGACCATACCTATGACTGGTAGGGGTGAAATGATACAGCAAGGTCACGTTAGAATATGTATCACGATACAGAGGTCATATTTGGGTTTTACACCACTTTTAGCAATATTCCAGCAAAATCAATGAAGGGGACATTGTGCCCATGTGGGGAATCTTAAGCATGATGATTAGGCTATTAGGCTACACCACTGCCCTGTATTGATAAAAATTTAAGCATATCATCAGTGTATGAAATAAGCCAAAATTCCAGCCAGACATCAGGGCTGGTAACTTCAAAATGTTACCAGCCCAAAATGGATTTAACCAGACCAAATATCATGGTGAATTTACTCAGATGTATGGAACATCTAAAAAAAATTACCAGACCATCGGGCTGGCTAGCTGTAAATTTAGACTGTCCATCAGAAATCTAGCCCGTCTGGGGCGGTCGGACAGGCCTTATTTCATACACTGATATCATGTCACATATCATTGTATAAAAACACACAATGCACTGGGGGTGGTAGGGTAGCTTAGTTGTTAAAGCATTCGTTCATCACAATGAAGGACCGGGTTCGATTCCCCACATGGGTACAATGCGTGAAGCTCATTTATGGTGTCCCCTGTAATGATTTTGCTGGAATATTGCTGGAAGGTGCTTAAATCCAAACTCACTCACACAATGCACTGATGCACCAATGTATTGTTCCAGTCCTAATGGAGTACCCCATTAAGTTTAACACATGAATACCTGTTTTTCTCTATTACTAGTACTTACTATGCAGATCAAACACAACCCAATACAGACAGGCATGTAAAGTATATCTACAAAAGAATTATCACAAAGATATTGTTACCTCATTCTGGATATAACCAGGGATAAGAATTTTCCGCGGATCTGGAACACAGTTTCGGAATTCCGGGAATTTCATAAGGCCAAGGGTAATTTTTGTGAATCGTCTAAATCCGTTGACAATTGTATGAATGTGCTTCAGCAGATTTAAAGTTTTTTAATGGTTGCTGTGTTCATGATATTGTCATTTCTGAGCCAGTTTTAAAGGTCTAAAATGCCTAAATATCAGGAGCTTCAGCTAGTTTTCAGAGTTTTTCTCAAAGCTTCATTCTCATCCCTGTATAACCCACTGTAGAACTGTTTGATCATTGTGATTAACAAAGGTAGCCCCAGGGAGTAATTACAAGCAAACACAGACCAATTCATCAGTGACAATTTTCACATTGGTTGCCAGGTCAACCTGCAAATTAACCAAATATTTTATAACAGAAACAAACGACTGGGGAAAATCTGGATAATACATTGGACGTTTTTGTAATGATTTCTAAGTGTATTCACTTGTGCTGTGCAGTAGATGCATCTGACAGCCCAACTGTTGTAGAGAATTTGTGTCCTCAGATAATATGTTTTCACACAAGGACAAATGTTTTTGGATGAACAGCTTCTTTATTCAAATACAGATACTTCATTCAGTGGCATTTTTAGATCCGGGGTAGAATAGGTCTTCAGCAACCCATGTGCTTGCCATAAAAAGGCGACTATCTTGTCGTAAGAGGCGACTAACGGGATCGGGTGGTCAGTTTAGCTGACTTGGTTGACACATGTCATCGGTTCCCAATTGCGCAGATCGATGCTCATGCTGTTGATCACTGGATTGTCTGGTTCAGACTCGATTATTTACAGACCGCCGCCATATAGCTGGAATATTGCTGAGTGCGGCGTAAAACTAAACTCACTCACTCACTCACTCAGTGGCTTTTTTAGAAGTTGGAAAGTCAGATAAGGACAAACTTTATGGATGAACAACTTCTTTATTCAGGTGATGCGACGTTTTAATACACATTCTTGTATCATTGTCAAGCCAGTATCTCAAATAAAGAAATTGTTCATCCATAAAGTTTGTCATCTGACTCTCCAACTTCTAAAAATGCCACTCAAAGATGTTTTCAGACTTCTACATTTCTTGACGGCAATGTTTACTCTCTTGATAATGAAGCAGGTTGCTTCACCAACATTGTATATACTCAGATGATGGCTTGTGTTTAAGATAAAACTTGTCTTTAAGAAGTTAGTGACATGTTGCAATTTTCAAGCATTTTCTCTTAAGCATCCAGACCCCCATAAACACAAGGATAATGAAGCTGCCTTGGCTTATATCTGTCAAAGTTCACATTGTTGACAAAATAATTACACTCTTTGTCTTCATTTTGCATTTTCTGGGAACTATAAATGATGGTTGAAGTGAGTAAATATTGCTTAACACCGCATCAGCAATTTTGCAGCTATTTGCCGTAAGATTGAAGAGGAAATGAAAACAGAACATGAAATATCATGTTCTTACCCTGTCTAACCTTTAAAGTTGAGGGGCGGTGGGGTAGCCTAGTGGTTAAAGCGTTGGCTCGTCACGCCGAAGACCCGGGTTCGATTCCCCACATGGGCACAATGTGTTAAGCCCATTTCTGGTGTCCCCCGCCGTGATATTGCTGGAATATTGCTAAAAGCGGCGTAAAACTAAACTCAGTCAGTCAGTTTAAAGTTGAAATCAGATTTCGGCTTTTATTTATTATGTTCGGTCAGGAATGTATCAGTATTTAAGAATTGGCTTCAGTATTTTTAGTATTTTTGTAGGTATTAATGTAAAAAGCAATGTGTATACAACTAGAATCAGCTAGTATACACATCAGTATTTACATTGATAACTCCATAATGACTAAAACGGGTTAACATCAGATTTAGTAAATAGATACATCAAAAAAAATCTTTACATGCAGCTAATTTCATCATTAACACTGTTGATAACAGTATAAAGTATATAATTTATTTCAGAGACTCTTTCAGTGTTGTCACAACCCCTAGTGTACAGTACACAACCCTGTGCACTTAAATGAAACCACGAATCCATTTAAATGACCTGATGGTGGCCACATGAATACGTGCAAACACCTAAAGTACTGTCGGAAATAGAAAAAAACTGTTTTTTCACATTGATATCTACAATTTATGTAGTTACTATGCGTAAGTGTGAAATATCTGTTAAACTAAGTTCGGCCTAACTACAGTCTCAGTGGTAGGGAGATAGGAAACGTAAACAAAGGACTTTACTGAGGAGAGATTAGTGCTGAAATGAGCAATGAGTATTTTTTCTACGTCCAAAGGGACTTATTTGGAACAGACCATGTCGTTATGCAAATTAGTGTGCGATGATGATATATTTCAAAGGACAATTTTTAAATGTCCATTTTGAAATTAAACTTAGCTTCATTATAAACGATAGCTTACGTAAAAAATAATAACTTTAAAACTGAAACTATGAAGGATGTAGCTACTATGGAGTGTCACTATCACTATAAAAAGAAACAGGTAGGAGGGGTCGTCTCAAAAGCAAATCCAGGATGGGTGTCGCAGACGGTGGTTGGGGTCGGGCTGGGGGATAGAGATATAAGCTGAGATACGATATTCCTTTAGGGGAATTAAACTGCTAAGCAAACGACATGTCATAACAATTTACAAATAATATCCAGTCCTGTCGATCTTTGGGTGGTCATGCCACCTATATATTTTGAGACATTTAATACGATGGCTGATTTAAGCTTTTCCATGGGTATCATACCCTTTTACATATCTCAACATAAACATTATGAAAGAAAGACACTTTAGATATTAATCAATAGATGAGACATATTCAACACACATGAAAAAACATAAAATATCTTTGAGCTGACCCCTTGTGCTTGTAGGCAGAACGTGCATTTCATGCCAGGTGAGTCGACGGTCTGTCGTCATACCTGGCTGAGCGACCTAATTGCCATCTATAGTCCGATCTATTGTTTTGAGCAGCTATTCGTATTTTTTCTAAGTTTTGCTCAATTTTACGAGAAAACATGCTTTTCTGGATATCCTATTACGCATCCCACTGAATGCCCAGTTAGGCCGATGTGGGTTATTTCGATATATGCCTTTTGTAAATTTGTCAATTTTAGGGATACAGAGTAACAGCCTAAAAACAGTTTTTTTCTATTTCCGACAGTACTTTAGTTGAGGGTACAGGAACGTGCAGTGAACTTGGACAAAGTACTGTCACTATGTGTCCCAGTCCACCCAGCTGTGAATGGGTACCTCGAAAGGATGGGAAAGTCACATTAACTCGGTGCGCCTAGTGGCAGCAAGAGTTGTATATTCCCCAGGGAGTTGAGAGTGATAATATGATGTACCGCTGAGATTGAGATTGACATCCAATGATCGAGGGGAAAAACAGTAATCTGTTATTGGGCATGGACGTGTTGTGATTGTTTTATTAATTAAACATTAATGCCTTTAAAACTTTGCTTGGTCAACCAATCAGAGGCTCCAGAGTCACATGCAATTTATTATAAAAAATGGATATGAGCTCAAACATGGCATGCATCATCCTGCCTTGTGTCTACCAGGGCCCCGTTTCACAAAGCTATCGTAGCGCTACCACTGTCGTACCTCATATACTGTAACATAGACTTACGACAGTCGTAGCGCTACGATAGCTTTGTTACAGAGGGCCCAGGGCCTAGATTTTCGAAGCTCTCTTAGAGCTAAGATAGTCGTAAGTTAATGTTAATGTATGGCACTTACGACTTTCTTAGCGTTAAGAGAGCTTCGAAAGTCTAGGCCCAGGTTGGCAAAGTATAACAGCAACTGTGATATTTCTTTAGCCACATCATTAAGGCAGAGTTCTACCTAAACATCAGTGTATGATTAGCCTAATCAGATGGGCAAATTTATACCAATGTGTAGCTAGCCTCATCAGTAAATCATGATTCTGCTGCAGTCAGTAAATCGAGTAATTAACGTCATTAATTTGGCATATTAACACAGGAACATAAGAGTGTGGTTCATGCTGTAGTTAGTGGATTGTTACTGTAACAGACATGTGTAAGTAACCTCATCAGCTGGGCAGGTGAATTGATTTATCTGTGCTTTCTCTTCCAGTTATCTGCTATCTGATCCTGTTTCGCATGGATGAGCTTGGATTACCTCACCTGAGAAAATTTGTGCAATCTCAGAATGCAAGCAAAATGTATAAGGTTAGTACATAGTTTCAACCGTTTTGAATCCGGATTAGATTTGTCTGATTATTTGTTGTTTAATACTGCACTCAGCAATTTTCAAGCTATATGGCAGCGGTAAATAATCCAGTTTGGACCAGACAATCCAGTGATGGACATCATGAACATTGATCTATGCAATTTTGATACTATGAAATGTGTCAACCAAGTCAGCAAGCCTGACTACCTGATGTCGTTAGTCGTCTCTTACGATAAGCATATGTTCCTGAAGACCAATTCCAACCTGGATTTTCACAGGTAACTTATTAGAATAGACAATGAAAGCAAACAACAGTAATAACTTTAATATAATCCAGAAAGTTTTATGTTGCTCTTTTACTAACCAATTTCTAGAATGCCAAGCAAACAGTGGGTTAAAATAAACAAGAAGTTGTCATCTATAGAGTTGTATGTTTCATTTTTGACTCACCAACTTCTAGATGCTGTTCAAACAAAGTTTTATTTTTGACACATAATCTGATATTGATGTTTAGCAATTATTGGTTGTTAGATGAATAATAGTAAGAGTTGTATATGGAAACAGGAGTGTAACTGACAAACACATAATGTTAATAAAGTAAACATAATAAATTTAAATAATTTAAAATGAAATGAGATTTTATCAAAGTGGTTAAAACAGGCTACCTAAAAAGAAAAGAGTCTAAGATAGTATTCAATACAAGTGCCATATATTAACAATTATTTCATTAACTATCACAGAAATAACAATACTATCTTAGCCTAAGAGAGTTTTAAAAAATGTAGGCCCAGGAACCTGCTTGCTTGTCATAATAGGTTACTTAATGGTATACTTAATGCTCAACATTTAGACTGACTGACTGACGGAGTTTGGTTTTTCGCCGCTTTTAGCAATATCCCAGCAACATCACTGTTGGGGACACCAGAAATGGGCTTCACACATTGTGCCCATGTGGGGATTCGAACCCGGGTCTTCGGCGTGACGAGCCAATGCTTTAACCATTAGGCTACCCTACCGCCCCTCAACATTTAGAAGATAAAACAAAGAGTAGTTGGCTCAGAGTCGGGATACGTGTCTGAGTGGGAGTTCATGTTGAAACTTCAGTATGATATGAAACTGTATGGATTTCAGACAAGTAAAAGCACTCACACGCACACACACATGGACAAGAGTGCAGTAGTCTTGAACTACTCATCTCTCTGTACTTAGACAGCATGATTGGTTAAGTGTTTAATGTATTTTTCCTATTGACAGTTCCTGAACTTCTTCCTGGATGAGAGGAACCTACTGACGTGGGTGAAGGATCAATGGGGCAAGTTCTATGAACAGAGTTTTGTGGAGACAAACCTCCTGTCACCCTTAGAGAGGTGAGTCTGTTTCAGATGAAACCCCTCCATTCATGTTGTAGGTGTCAGCTGTGCATGTTGTGGAGGTTGCTGTCAGAGCTGTTGGAGATTGTGATGTGCATGTTGATGTTAAAGTGAAAACATGACTCTAAGGTTAGGTTTTAATTGTAGAACCCTTTGCAAGCTTTAGTTTTAAATTTACTTGTGAACTGTTACATGCAAGAAATACAACAATGATTAAGAAACATGGTGATTCTTTACAGTGAAATAAACAGTAATCAAGGTTTAAAGGAAATTTGATGATGGTGAGCAAGAATGAGATCACATGCAGCATGCAGAGAGTTGAAATCAGTGACAAATCTCCAAGAAGGTCTTTCAATTCAGATATCTCCAAGAAGGTCTTTCACATTAAGATATCTCCAAGAAGGTCTTAATATTCAGATATCTCCAAGAATGTCCTTCAGTTCAGATGTCCTATTCTCCAAGAAGGTCTTAAAAGAATACTTTTCACACTATGAATGGTGGCACGATAGGAAAAAGCGGCAGTATGTTCATGAATAAAGATTGTGTATGTGTCAGTCTGCTGTAACAGGTGGTTGTGAGTGCTGTTGGAGATGTTGACACATGTTGATGTTGTGGATGATGCAGGTGGCTATCAGAGCTGCAGGAGATGGTGACGCTTATGAAGGACAAGCTGGACCATAAGGTGAAGCCCAAGAAGAAGGTGGTCCCAGCCACAGGTAGGTCAGGCAACACTGGCATCTACTCCACAGTTGTTTGTTGCTGTCTGACCAGTGTTCACGAATGGGGTTTCAAAGTAACAGGACATTGGGTCCTGTAAGTTTCAGATGTCTGTCTGACCCATTCAAAATTCACAGGACCCATAGAATAAAATTAAACACACATTTCATATTCAACATTTCTTATAATTGGCATTGAAATTTTTAACAAACGTAAGATTTATAAAGGGCAAACAAGTGTCACATGTCACATATAACAACTTCAGTCAAAGTCATTGTGAAATATACAGTCTGACATTGGGGCTGGCGGGTTGCAGACTTCTATCGGACCATTGGCAAATCTGCCGGATATGTCAGAGGGTCAGACGCTATTCGTGAACACTGTCTGTACATAATCACTTTGGACCAGACAATCATTGAGGTTGTGAGTAACAACCACTCTGTCGAGAGTATGTTGAGAGACAGTCAACCATGTCAGTGAGTCCATTTGGTCACCTCATATAACCACCACATGTCGGGACCGGTCATAACCCGGAATCCTGAAGGGGTAATTGATATTACAAGGATGAGTATGGGTAAAACTATACAAAGTGCATGTAATAATATGACAGTGTGAAACCATGTACTGATGAAATGTGTTTCTTGTACAGAGGTGAAACCTTTCAAGCTGACACAGCCCAAAGCAAGAAGTGTTCCAGTTCCTGAGCCGGTGAGTACAACACATCCCATGCCCTCCATTCCTCCTCTACTTCTCTCTCTCCACCTCCCCTTCCATTTGTTGTCTCTCATTTGGTAACTTTAAAACTATCAATGTCATTCTTCTCCCTTAATCCTCTGCGCCTCTCCTCTCCTCTCTCTTTCTTCTCACTCTCAGTCTTCCTCTCCCTACCCCCCTCTCACTCCATTTTTCTTGCTCCCCTCCTACTTTCCCCATCCCACCCTTCTACCCCTCCTCTTCCCCCTCCTCTTCCTTCCTTTGTTTTCTTCTTTCTTTCCTTCTCCTTTCTCCCCTAACTCTCTCTCCCACTCCTATTTCCTCTCACTCTCCCTTATGCCCCCACCTCCTTAAGTTCCCAAATGCATTTACTGGGATGGGGACTGTGCTTGTTTTCATAGTTATACCCTCATTTTCCCCTGTTAAATTGTTCTCATATCATCAAAAGGGTTTTAAAAGGAATAATGCATTTTGCAATTACAAGCTTCAATAATCAATATATTAAAATGAAATAGAGTATTTCATTGGAGTAGCAACCATGATCCTATCATGCATAATTTAACTGATGTGATGCAATTGTGATTTTGATTAACTGTTGCCATCATCTCTGATAGCATGCTTTGTGATAACAGGTACCCAATTTCCTCTCTAATATCACAACTTAAATGCCATTAAGTATTGAAAGGTTTTCATTATCCATCCATTTCAAAGGAATGGCTTTGTTTGATTAGAATTTTCTATTTCATACATAGTTTTTCTCGTTTTTTGTTCCTTTTGTTCTGTAAAAAATGGGGCGGTGGGGTAGCCTAGTGGTTAAAGCGTTCGCTCCTCACGCCGAAGACCCGGGTTCGAATCCCCACATGTGTGAAGCCCATTTCTGGTGTCCCCCGCCTTGATGTTGCTGGAATATTGCTAAAAGCGGTGTAAAACTAAACTCAGTCAGTCAGTCTGTAAAAAATTAATCTTATATTGTGTGTCTATTTTCCATCCACCTTCTGGGCATATTGTGGATTTACAGAGTCCCAATTGTGAATTTTATGTTTTCCTGTGGGTGTGATGTTGGACAAATGTTTGTGTAATTAGTTATTTGCTGGGTATTGTTTCTTCCAAGTAATGTCGAGCTTCTTTCACAATTAGTTTGTTGATCTGATGTAGAAATAGAGTTTAGAGTCCCCATGAGTTTAGTTCGGAAGATCTGTCCGAACTGTACCAGTTCTAGTGGGTTTCACCAAGTTATAAATGTCACTTCTGGCATTTGATTCTCACACATCAAGCTCGGATAAGACAGAACACTGTCCCCAAAGCACCCACTCACTTGTTATGTAATGAAAGGTCCTTTTCGGGGCCTTAGTTCTGAAGTGGTAACAATGTAACCACTGAATGCTTTGATCTGGATAAATTCATTGAGATTCTGTGAAACATATTAGGTAGATTTTAATCCCAACAATGAGTACATGCATTGTATCACTTTTTAATGGTGACATTGTGACTCTATCATAAATGTACACTTTTGTCTTTAGATATGAAACATGTGGTTGGTATAGTTAGTATTCGAGGACACTAGTGAGAACTGACTGACAATGATGAGAGAGGGACAATGATGAAAGGACAATGATATATGTGAAAGAAGGACAATGATGAAAGAAGGACAATGATGAAAGAAGAACAATGATGAGAAGAGGACAATGTTGTGAGAAAGACAATGATGTATGTGAAAGAAAGACAATGATGAAAGAAGGACAATGATGAAGAAGAACAATGATGAGAGGAGGACAATGTTGTGAGAAAGACAATGATGAGAGGACAATGATGTGAGAAAGACAATGATGTATGTGAAAGAAAGACAATGATGAAAGAAGGACAATGATGAGAGAAGGACAATGCTAAAAGGACAATGCTAAAAGGACAGTCGTGAAAGGACAATGATGAGAGAAGAAAAATGGTGAGAGAAGGACAATGATGAGAGGACAATGATGTAAGAAAGACAATGATGTATGTGAAAGAAGGACAATGATGAGAGAAGGACAATGCTAAAAGGACAGTCATGAAAGGACAATGATAAGAAGAAAAATGGTGAGAGAAGGACAATGATAAGAGGACAATGATGTAAGAAAGACAATGATGTATGTGAAAGAAAGACAATGATGAAAGAAGGACAATGATGAGATAAGGACAATGCTAAAAGGACAGTCGTGAAAGGACAATGATGAGAGAAGAAAAATGGTAAGAGAAGGACAATGATGAGAGGACAATGATGTAAGAAAGACAAAGTATGTGAAAGAAAGACAATGATGAAAGAAGTACAATGCTAAAAAGGACAGTGGTGAAAGGCCAATGATGAGAGAAGGACAATGATGAGAAGAGGACAATGATGTGAGAAAGACAATGATGTAAGAAAGACAATGATGTATGTGAAAGAAAGACAATGATGAAAGAAGGACAATGATGAGAGAAGGACAATGCTAAAAGGACAGTCGTGAAAGGACAATGATGTGAAAAGGACAATGATGTGAGAAAGACAATGATGTATGTGAAAGAAAGACAATGATGAAAGAAGGACAATGATGAGAGAAGGACAATGATAAAAGGACAGTCGTGAAAGGACAATGATGAGAGAAGAACAATGGTGAGAGGAGGACAATGATGTGAGAAAGACAATGATGTATGTGAAAGAAAGACAATGATGAGAGAAGGACAATGATAAAAGGACAGTTGTGAAAAGACAATGATGAGAGAAGAACAATGATGAGAGAAGGTCAATGATAAAAGGACGGTCGTGAAATTACAATGATGAAAGAAGAACAATGATGAGAGGACAATGATGTAAGAAAGACAATGATGTATGAAAGAAGGACAATGATGAAAGAAGAACAATGATGAGAGAAGGACAATGCTAAAAGGACAGTCTTGAAAGGACAATGATGAGAGAAGAACAATGGTGAGAGAAGGACAATGATGAGAGGACAATGATGTAAGAAAGACAAAGTATGTGAAAGAAAGACAATGATGAAAGAAGGACAATGATGAGAGAAGGACAATGCTAAGAGGACAGTCGTGAAAGGCCAATGATGAGAGAAGGACAATGATGTGAGAAAGACAATGATGTATGTGAAAGAAAGACAATGATGAAAGAAGGACAATGATGAGAGAAGGACAATGCTAAAAGGACAGTCGTGAAAGGACAATGATGAGAGAAGAACAATGATGAGAGGAGGACAATGATGTGAGAAAGACAATGATGTATGTGAAAGAAAGACAATGATGAAAGAAGGACAATGATAAAAGGACAGTTGTGAAAAGACAATGATGAGAGAAGAACAATGATGAGAGAAGGTCAATGATAAAAGGACGGTCGTGAAATTACAATGATGAAAGAAGAACAATGATGAGAGGACAATGATGTGAGAAAGACAATGATGTATGTGAAAGAAGGACAATGATGAAAGAAGAACAATGATGAGAGAAGGACAATGCTAAAAGGACAGTCTTGAAATTACAATGATGAGAGAAGAACAATGGCGAGAGAAGGACAATGATGAGAGGACAATGATGTAAGAAAGACAAAGTATGTGAAAGAAAGACAATGATGAAAGAAGGACAATAATGAGAGGACAATGCTAAGAGGACAGTCGTGAAAGGCCAATGATGAGAGAAGGACAATGATGTGAGAAAGACAATGATGTATGTGAAAGAAGGACAATGATGAAAGAAGAACAATGATGAGAGAAGGACAATGCTAAAAGGACAGTCGTGAAAGGACAATGATGAGAGAAGAAAAATGGTGAGAGGAGGACAATGATGTGAGAAAGACAATGATGTATGTGAAAGAAAGACAATGATGAGAGAAGGACAATGATAAAAGGACAGTCGTGAAAGGCCAATGATGAGAGAAGGACAATGATCTGAGAAAGACAATGATGTATGTGAAAGAAGGACAATGATGAAAGAAGAACAATGATGAGAGAAGGACAATGCTAAAAGGACAGTTGTGAAAGGACAATGATGAGAGAAGAAAAATGGTGAGAGGAGGACAGTGATGTGAGAAAGACAATGATGTATGTGAAAGAAGGACAATGATGAGATAAGGACAATGTTAGAAGGACAGTCGTGAATTTACTATGATGAGAGAAGAACAATGATGAGAAAGACAGTGATGTATGTGAAAGAAGGACAATGATGAAAGAAGAACAATGATGAGATAAGGACAATGATAGAAGGACAGGCATGAAAGGCCAATGATGAAAAAAGACAATGGTGAGAGAAGGACAATGATGTGAGAAAGACAGTGATGTATGTGAAAGAAGGACAATGATGAAAGAAGAACAATGATGAGATAAGGACAATGATAGAAGGACAGGCGTGAAAGGCCAATGATGAGAGAAGACAATGGTGAGAAGAGGGTGATGAGAAAAGGAAAATGATGTGAGAAGGACCATGATGAGAAAAGGATAATGATGAGAAAAGCACAATGATGAAAGAAGGACAATGATGAAAGAAGGACAGGAGAGATGAGAAATAATGTCAAACTGAATTGAATCTGAATCCACCTTGTATTGACCCAGGATCAGAATAAGCCCCCATCAAGCAATGCCCATTGTGAGAGGTGACTCAGTGATCAGGTTGGGTGTCCATTTAGCTGACTACAGGTCATCATGACCTGACAACATTGCTTATATAAGCCGAGTATGGAATATTACTGAGTTCAGTGTTATTCAACAAACAAAACAATTCAGTTAACATTACATTATAAGAGTCTGCAGTTTGTTAAAAAGTGATACAATGTATCTCAGAGGAGTGAGTGAGTTTAGTTTTATGCCACTTTTAGCAATATTCCATCAATATCACTGCAGGGGACACCAGAAATGGGCTTCACACATTGTACCTATTTTGGGAATTAAACCCAGGTCTTTGGCTAGGCTACCCCACTGCCCCTTGTCAGAGTGGAATTATTTATATCTTTATTCACATGTTTTGGAATATTTAGATTGTTTTGG